CTCCACCACCACATCGCCGACGTCATCGAATTTCTTCCCACAATGTCCGGGATAGAAAAGCTCAACAATTCCATCCTGAGCGTCTTTGACGGCACAAACTGGAACACTTGGTCGGACAACTATATGAGCATATGCATGCACCAGGGCACTTGGGGGGTTGTGAAACCCTCTTATATCACGGTTAACGGTACACCAGCTGCCAACATCGGTGCAGTCGAACGTCCTTCAACTGCTGGGGATTCCCAAAATCAATGGGACGTTGCCAATGAAAAGGCACTGGGTCTTGCACGGGTTTATATTACCCAGAATCTGCGCAAAGGAATCTTTATGGACGGTCAGCGGGAGCGCACTGCGTGCGAAGTTTGGGCAAAAATGGCGACGGATTATGGCCAACCAAATGCCATCGATGCTTTCGTCGAGTACCGCCTCCTGAACACCACCACCTTCCATGGTGGTGACACCATTGAGAAGCAAATCATGGAAATGGAGACTCGTCGTCGCCAGTGTTCAGAAGGAGGAATCGAGATCCCGGACTACCTCTTTGCGACTCTCATGCTCGCCGCCTTACCCGCTTCCAGCAGAGGTTTCGTCACCTCTTATCTGGCCAATCGTCCTATCGCTTCCTTGAACCCGGTCGATGTCAAGAACAGTGTCATTGGGAATATCAAGATCGAGAACCTCGACACGACGTCAAACTCGAAGATTTCCACCGTTCCGTCCCTTGCCACCCGCTGCACTCATTGTAACAAGTCCGGTCACGTTGCGGCATCCTGCTACAAGAAGTATCCCAACCTCAAGCCTACTGGTCAATCTTCTGACAAAGGCAAGGGGAAGCAGGATGAGGGGAAGAAGAAAAAGAAGAAGGAGAAGAAGAATAGTGGTGATGGTACCAGCACTGTAAACAACAAAGAGGTTGTAGCTGCTCCCGCGGTTGCAGCTTCTTCTTCTAATGGAATGCACTTCTCGTCCTATTTCATGAGTGACTCCCTCCAACACAACGATGATGGAATTTTTGTTGAAGAAATGGGAGACGACTCCAAAGTTCGTTTTCTATGGGATTCAGGTTGTACACATCATATGACAAACACCTGATCCGATCTTCACAACATCAGGCCTATCGACACCTATGTAGTCGTTGGGTCGGGAGCTCGCTTCAAGAATGAAGCCATTGGAGATATTGTGTTGCGGGGTCATACTAGTAGTGGCATGGACTACACCTTCACGCTGAAGGATGTCATCTACAACCCGCACATAAGAGGGTGTTATCTTTCTGGGTATGCGCTCAATCAGGCTGGTTACTACACCATGGTTGGTGACAACAAGGCAATCCTAGTCACCAAGGATTGGCTCAACAAGGGAAAAGCGCATGGGGATGTCTTGATGACCTTTAAAGCAAGCAATCACTGCTACTGGTACTACCCCGAGGAGCTCGTGGCACCGTCTGTGTCTGCATCTCACGAGTCTACCGCGCTCGCTTCCCTGGAAACTACCGATCGTGAATTGTGGCATAAGCGTTTTGGTCATGCGGCTCGGAGGACCCTTACTCACTTGCCAACACAAGTTGAAGGTGTTCCCCCCTTGCGACGCAATAGAGACCAGCGCGGCATGTGCGATGGATGTATGCTTGGAAAACAGCACAAGCATCCGTACCCTGCATCAGAGAAACGTGCTAGCAAACCCCTCGAGCTTATCCACACTGATTTGATGGGCCCCTGGCCTACTCAGTCGTTGGAAGGTTCACGCTACACAATTTCGTTCTACGACGATTTCTCGAGCTTTGGCATGATGGTGTTCATTAAATCAAAGGACCAAGCCTCTACTGCGATTAAAAACTTTGTTGCCCTTACAGAGCGTCAGCTTGGCACAAAAGTACTGGCCTTCCGGTCAGATCGTGGAGGCGAATATATGTCCGATGAACTCACAGCCTGGCTCAATGCACGTGGTATTATGCACCCTAAGTCCGCGCCACGCGAACCACAGCAAAATGGGAGGTCTGAACGTTGGAATCGCACAGCCTACGAGAAAGCGGAATGCATGCGCCTCGATGCCGGCCTATCCAAAGGCTTCTGGCAATGTGCTATGGATGCATCTGTCCACGTTCATAATAGACAACCTATGGCACAATTGGGATGGCGAACACCTGCGGAACTGTGGCTTGGAAAGAAGCCAGACGTCTCTTATTTCCGTGTGTTTGGATGCAAGGCGTCTCTCTATGTGGATGTTGAAAAACGCCCGAAAGGGTTGGAGCATGGACGCCCCGACCACATCTTCGTTGGATACGAACAAGAGACAAAAGCTTGGAAAGTGTGGGATCCGAATCAACGCAAGATACGAATCTCTTCAAACGTCGAGTTCGATGAGCGAGTATTCCCTGCCAAGTCCAAGCTAGTCACCGGCAATGTGTCCTCTGGACCAGAGCCGTTCACACCATTCAAGGAAACCTTCCCTGACCTTATCAATAATCCTGCGCCTGCAACACCTTATGCAAGTGTACCACCCCCTGCTCTTCCACCGCCCCCGGCACCCCTCGCGCAACAAGGTCCTGTCACGGGATCGCGAGAAGTACCCCTAATGCCTGGCCCAATAGACAATCGCCCAATTGCACATCGCCGCCCTCATCGAAACAAGCCCCGCATTTTGCCAGATGGAACTACGTATCAGAGGCCTAGCAGCATTGAGTCCATGTTGTCAGCTGCCCAAGCTGAGCATGACTTGCCTCAAAACGTGCGGGATGTAGCAAAGAGCCCGGATGCACTCAAGTGGGAGCGCGCAATGCGCGAAGAACTGGACTCTCTCGAGGAAAACTGTACTTGGGATTTGACCAGCCTCCCACGCGGTCGAAAGACTGTCAAATGCAGATGGGTGTTTAGCAGGAAGCGTGACGGTCGTTTCAAAGCACGACTTGTTGCCAAGGGATTCATTCAGGTTCATGGGTTTGACTATGATGAGACCTTCTCGCCAGTATTGCGCTATGAATCTTTGCGCATACTTATGGCTCTGGCTGCTCTCGAAGATTGGGAGATTCATGCCATGGATGTCAAAACGGCATTCCTAAACGGGGATCTGGAGGAAGAAATCTATATGGAACTTCCGGAATTACCCAAAGGTTTCTCGTCATGGCCAAAAGAAAAGGTGGCACGCCTTCGTAAATCACTCTATGGGTTGAAACAGGCGTCTCGTCAGTGGAATATCAAAATCCACAATGCCCTCCTCGAACTTGGTTTTGCTCAGACATACTCCGACGCCGGTGTCTACACATATCGCCAACAAATGGGAGATACGGTCATCATCTTGGTGCTGTATGTTGACGATATGCTCATTATGGGCAACAATCTGCCGGAGATAGCGCGGATCAAATCATTGCTCGCAAACCGCTTCAAAATGACAGATCTTGGTCCTGCAAAGGATTTCCTTGGTCTGAACATAGTTCGTGATCGCAAAGCGCGTAAAATCTGGATCGATCAGGCTTCCTATATCGAAGGAGTTCTAGAACGATTCCGGATGTCTTCGTGTAAAGAAGCTCGTACTCCCCTGCCTTCCGGCATCGTGCTTGAGAAGCATGATGGAGAAGTTGATGAAGACCGTCGTACCCGATACCAGCAACTGATTGGCAGCCTTCTATACGCCATGCTTGGTACTCGCCCCGACATTGCCTATGCAGTCATCCGTCTATCAAAGTTCAACAGCAACCCGTCAGAACATCATTGGAACATGGCAAAATACATACTCCGGTACCTTCAGGGCACCAAAAACTACCAACTTTGCTATGATGGTTCCACTGGCACAGGCCTTATCGGTTATTCCGATGCTGATTGGGCGGAGAACAAAGACGACAGGCATTCAACCACGGGATATTCCTTCTTCATCGCCGGTTGTGCAGTGACCTGGGTTTCTAGACGCCAACCCACGGTCGCTTTGTCCTCAACAGAGGCCGAATACATGGCTCTGAGCGATGCTACACGCCAGATTGCCTGGATCCGCACTTTGTTGACTGAGCTCGGATATGACTTGCCATCCACGCCTCTTTGTGTTGATAACCAAGGCGCTATTTTCATGGCAGTAAATCCAGTTCATGATAGGAGGACGAAGCACATCGACATCCGCTATCACTTCGTACGAGAATCCGTCGAAGCTGGCAATGTCCAACTTTACCATGTGCCGACTGATGCGATGATCTCAGACACGCTCACAAAGTCTTTGGCATGGGTGAAGTTCCAACAACATCGGCTGTCTTTGGGTCTTCGTGATCCGACTGTTTAGTCGAGTGGGAGTGTTGAAGCTTGTTTGTATTAGCGACTATCACAGTATGTAGACATGACATCATAAGTAGTATTCTTAGATTACTTTGGCTCGCTCCACAATGACCTCATACCTGACCTCATTATTGCGTCATCCATTACTCATCTATGATATCATTACTCCACTATGACATCATGATATCTGCTCCAGACTGGTATATAAACCTAGTACTATACACTCCATATCCTCAGCTCCTGTGTCTCTACACTCGCTGAGGTATGCATTCTCCCTTACGATCTAATGACCTTACTTATGACTTGTACCATAGACTCTGTCTTATAGGTACAGCTAATGATATAGCTCCTGTGTCTCTACACTCGCTGAGACTCTGTCTTATAGGTGATCGCTACTGGTCGTATCTCCACTGCGCAGTATTGTCTGCAACACCCCTGACATCTGGTCCAGAACTATGGAGTCCTATCTGGAACATCAGGGGATCTCCTATGTGCTGACCAAAGCTGTGCTGACCCAAATCAAAGTGGATGGCGTTGTTACCAACACATCAGAGATCAAGCAATGGAAGCATGATGACCTCAGAGCCAAAGGCAGCATTAGAGCATATTCGCAACGTTTCCCAAATTTTTGCTATCACAGCTCAAATTTAGGCGAGCCCTTTTGATAGATGTGACCTTGATGTGACCTTGATCATCCCTCGCGCTCCACACCTCGTTGCCGCTGTGCAGCGCGGCGCGCAGCACTCAATGAACTCAAACACTGGTCCACACGCCTGGTCCATTGAGCAAGGACTACCCCTCTGGGATGAATGGATGGATGCTCTGGGTCCTGGGTCCGCCTCTCCCTACCCCTGTGTCGACTCTGGCAGCACCATCGACTGGCAGGCTCGGACGTCCACCTCTCACCCTTCTGCCGGCTTCACAGCTACTTCGCGCGCTGCGCCTGCGCCATCTCCCAGCTTTCATCTGCCGTCGCCCAATTATATGCCTCTTCTGTCCTTTTCACCGCCGGCTGCCCGGACCCCTCATTCGACGCTTACGCCAGCTCCCAAACGTGTGGCCGCCTCGCCTGCCCCGAAAACACCCAATTCTCGCAGTGGGCAGGACTTGGCGATCGTGGACATGCCGAGTTCCAACGCTGGAGCCCAGACCTCGACCCGAACTCGCAAACAACACACTGCTCTACAACTCTTTGCTATAGTCCAAGTCGCAAATGACAAAGACTACTTCTCTGCTCGTCAGCATGGTCGGAAGGGTGAGATGGTCACCGCTATGGCTCATCACCTTCGCACCGTCAAGAACATCCCCTGCACGGAATCAATCGTCAAGACAAGAATTGCGGATCTGCTCCGATATCATGAGGTGTGTACTGTAGCTTTGCAAGCTGCTCAACTTACTGTTCACAACGTAGGATCCCGAGAAAGCTCCAGCTTACATTCGTGACACAATCTCGGGCTTGAGCCTTGAGATCCGCTTCGGTGCACCTCTAGACCTACTAGCCTCCCAAAAGCGGCTGTACGAGAACATGACCGAGGACGAAAAGGTCAAGGTCAAGGAAGTGAGTTGGCGCCTGTCTCTGCCTCTGATCAACTAATATCTCACCAGAAAGTGGACCAAGACAAGTACGGTGGAGAGATGATCCGGAACGCATCCCTCACCACACATCGCAAAACGTTCTTGGCCTCAGCTTCTTGCGACGATACGGATAGTGACAACGCATCTCATTTGGATATTGTCGAGACCACGGAAAGCTCATTCAGTGCGTCGGCAGGCTTAGGTCCGACTTCCTCTGTGTCCGAATGGGAGAGAGAGTATCAAGCACGGCACGGATCTTCGTCTGGCATTGCTACCAATGCAGGTGATGTCACTGGAAGTCCTAATCCAACACCAGTGGCAACGCAAGACCTTTCCGATGCACCCAAGTCGAATGAGCCAAAGAAGAACAAGAACAAGACATCAGGGAAGAATCAAGCAGGAGCGGCGAACGCGGCAAAGAAGCGCAAGCACACCAGAGCACTCTCGGACGATGAGAGTGACACACCAGTGCGCAAGACCAAACGAGTGCGCTCAGAATGCTCCTTCGACATCTGGGGCCATTTAGAGCAGACCGCTAAGGAGAATAAGGGCTTCCAGAGTCAGATTCTGGCACGGCTGGATCAGGCAAATGAGTATCAGGCTGAGGCTAATGAGACCCATCGTAAAGCTGTTGACAATCAACAGAGCTTTCAGATGGAGATGATCGGTGTCCTCCGTGCTCTTCTTCCCAAGAACTAAATCTATCATTGCATATAGCACTTGTGCTTGCATGCATACTAATCGCTTCTATGTTCATTCTTTCTAATACAAATTGGTGCCCTATTCACCGACGTTGTCTCTATCTAGTTGTGCAAATATTCTGAAAGCTCGGGAGGCTCACAGTCAAAGTACTGTGAGATTTGGTTGGGCCATAGGCAGTTGATGCAGTTGGTGAGAAGCACACCAACACGGTAATATCGTCCAACTGGTGAGGAGTATAGTCGCATCTTCCACGATGCATTCAGAAATGGCCAAGTATTAGCCACAATCCCAAATCCGTGCTCAACTTCAATTCGAACAGCAGACATGGCAGCATTCCAATTGTGCTGGTCTGGCGTACGCTCTCCCGCACCGGAAAAGGGGCTCTGAATGTGAGGCCCTACACCATATGCTGGATCACCAAAGATTTGGAAGTAGCGCTGCTCGATTGGTGTGTTTTCATCAACATCTTCCTGATGTGCAAAGAGTTTGAGGCGTTCCAACAGCCCACTCTCAGTGAGCAAGTGGTTGTCATTGCGTCGACCTTCCACAGGACCATACAAATGACCAATGATCCCATTGGGAAGCATCAATGCCTGGAATTTGAGAGCGTGATATTTCTTGTGGCCATTGTAGGCCTGCCGCTGAAACCATGTCGGGTGGGAGATCTGGCGAATAGTGCAATCAATGAATGCAAAAATTGATTTGAGAGGAGCACCACGGCTATGGATGGCAGCAGCATAGACTTTGAGCCGTGAGGGGTGAAGGAGATGCTGTTTGTCGCAGTTCAATAGATGCTCCCAGCGTTCATCCAGTACCTCAACCAGTGCATTGACGCACTCCAATATTGCGGATTGAGATCGATTGTACATCATGCACAACTAGTACATGTCCCCTGCAGTGCGAAATCGAGCACAGAGTAAACAGAGGGCTTCCAAAGCAGTGAATTTATGTCAAGAGCGTGTGGTGATGGGTGGAATGTCAAGAGCAACAACAAGCTCGAGAATCTCTGATGCAGTCATTCTGTTGGATAGGACTCAGCCATTTTGTGAACAGGCTCTGAAAGGAATATAAACTGGCCTGAAACGCCATAGACAATCTCGATTTGTCAACCCAGACAGCCATTCCTCCGTGATTCGCTGTCCACCTTGTTCTGGACGAGGAGGGCCACTTTCAGATAGCTTGATGAAGGACAAGATACTGTCATCATCCTGTCCAGTGAGATCAGATAACACTGGTGCCAGAAGCGAAGATATATTGGAAGTGGTAGGTGGCACTGGTGGTGGGGGGAAGATTAATGGGGAGGCAGCAGCCACTATTCGGAGCACGTTTTCAAGATTGGTAGGATCCATAGATAAGATGTGGGGATTTGCTCAAAAGCACACAGTCTTTTAAGGGGGAGGATGAGCGGAGCTCCGCCCACATCGTTTATCAGCCCCTAACCAATGTGGCGTCACCGTGTTGCTGATCAGTGCGTCATGTGTAGATTACGGTCACCTGATCACATGATGGGAGACTTATTTTCCCCTCTGCTCGGACCATGGCATACATGGGTAGTGACGAGAGCTGGCATGATCTAGACTATCTCAATCCAGGATCCTCAGATGTTGACGAGCGTGGTATTCCAAATGAGCCATGCCAGAGCCAACTTGCTGAGATGCAGCGGAACCACTCATGCCATAAGCACAAGCAAGCAAGATACGAAAAGGCAGCAAAGGAAGAGCTCAAGAACGACCATCTGGGGGGGATTCCGGAGGTTGCTGCTGCTATGCCGCGGTCCAGCATGACCATAGCACGGCACGAAATCAGCAGGTGCGTTAGAGATGCAACGATTCATAGGATTCAATCTCAAATCATGATGATAGCCTTTATGCTGTGGGCGGCGCGTTGGACTCTCAGACGACATCTCAAGATTTTGTAATGGGATTACTGGAGAGTCGAGCCTCATTGTCTCAGCCTCCATCCAGTCCAAACCGCGTCTCCGAGGCTGAGTCTCCTGCCATACATCAAGCTCTTAGACGTGCGCTCGCAGAGATCGAATCAATGAAGGCCGCACATAGCGACCAACTAGGTTTTATTCTGGCACACCAAGAGGAGCTCGAAAACGAAAACGAACGTCTTCACGCTGCACTGGCAACCTGGAAAGAGAGGGTGGGTCTTTGGAGGGATGACTGTGAGGAGATGCGGCGCAAATTGAGCGCGATCGCGTCGAATATCGACGATACATATGCTGTAACGTAGTGAATGCATTTCATGTTGACCTCGCCCGCCGATCCCGCCGTGCGCCTCAGCGATGTGCGGGACTCCTCACATGGGGCAATTTCGCTTGCCGAGTCACTCAAAAGATAGCCGAGGTCGCTAAAATTTTGCTATCAAAGCTCCAATTTACGATCAAAATTGCCAAGACGTCGTTTTTTGGGGGTTGCGAATATGCTCTATTAAGTTGCACCTAACTGAAGGTGTCATTGCTAACATTCCCTCCACCAATATAGTGTCAGCTGCCAAGATCTGGGAACATCTGAAGTCCCAATACGGTGGTGCTGTCATAATTCAGCCCTTTTTCATCTTATCATCGACCATCTTATTGTCATAGTTCGACCACTTTTTCATCTTATCATCGACGATCTTATCGTATCTTGGCACGACTTATCTTATCACAGATCACGGCATCAGACGGACCGGGCTAGGGGTTCCAGGGGTTATCTTTATCGATTCAAGGCTGCGCGACATACGCTCCAGAAGGTTCTACTACAACCCATGACCAGTGCTCCATGCGGTACATAGCCTTATGACTCATTAGTTGTAGATATGACTCAGACTGGATTTGGGTATAAATACAGTAGCTACTTGGTTGTATTCTCCAGTCTTCGAATTCACTTCTCTTTTCGACTTTGTTTTTGGGTTGATTGTCACATAATTCGAAGACTCCCCTCATACCCTCGTACCTCTTACCTCCTACCCTGCTCCCTGCACCGCTACGCCCACTATATCCTCTTCACCCTTATTACCCCACTCACCCTTTTACCGAATCATCTAGTTGTTCCCTGCGATTGCAGTGAAAGGTTCATATCGTGCAAACAGCACCAGGCCACGGGTAACGTTGAGCCCGACCCAAGCCTTACGGTAGCTACAAGGAGTGCTGCGGAGACCTTCGGGAAAACGCACCTTGGGATCATTGGGCACGTGAAGAGCTAGGCCCGGGATCTTTTTACTAGCAAAAGAACCTTTCCTCGAGTGCTTGTACAGCACACAAATCCACCATTTCGTACTGATTCCCATCGTCATCTGGGAGTCCATCCCCTCCCCCCATCGTACCATCGTCGCCCGATCTGGCGCATCAAAACAAACCCGGGCCCTCCAACCCCTATCTCGCCCTTCCGCCGCCTGAAGACGAGATCCCGGACCTCGACGAGCTGCCCTCCGAACAACCACCCTCACCCCCACCTACCACACCTGCTTGTACCATGTCAGGACACCACTGCATCACCCTCGCTGCCAACCCTCCCTATTTCGATGGGGACAAATCTAAATATCTGGGCTTCGTAGACTCGTGCACCACCTACATTGGTGCCTATCGATCAGAGTTCTCGCAGGATGAGACCAAAATCCTCTTTGTCCTCTCCTACCTCCGCAACGAGAGCGGCACGAGCTGCGCTGCCTCGAGATGGGCGATGATCTGGAAGCAACACAACTTCGATGGCTTCCAGGGACTGAAGGCAGGAACCACGGCCAAAACCTTCTTGGAAGAACTGCAGAGGGCCTTCGGGGACTCCAATGCGGAACAAGTCACCGCTGCTCGACTCATGGCCCTGCGCCAGAACAAACGGTCCTTTGCGGACTACATCTCCGACTTTGAGATGTTGGCCTCGGATGCGGGATACAATGTGGTCGACACCACCAACGACAAGGGCGAATACAAGAAGGGAGACCAAGACAATATCCTCATCGCACCTCAGTTACCACCGCCATCACGCGGTTCTCCCCCCGCGGGGTACCTACTGGGTACCCTCAGACGTCTTGCTGAGGGTACCCAGTAGGTACCCCCTGGCGGGGGGTGGGGGGGCCATTTAGTCGATTTAGTAGCGGGGGCATATGCGGGGGTCAGGAGGAGGGGGGGTGTATGTAGCATGTGACTTGTCCATAAGAGCGGGTAGCTGGGCGGGAAAAAAAATCCAATCACATGACGCGCTGCATGGGCGGGATGGCGGGATAAAAAAAATCACGTGATGCGCTGCACCAAATATTACCAAAATGCTGGCAGGGGTTGGCGGCGTCATTGGCGGGGTCACTACCACCCCCCCGCACACCATGGCGGGCAGTGGGCGCATTATCACGTGACTTTTTGGGCGCCTTTTTTGCAGCATTTGGCATGATTTTGGAAATGCTGCTTGATACATTGCATGCTGTGGCAGACAATGGGCGCAAAATCACGTGATTTTCCGCCAAAAAAATGGAAGACTCCCCAAATCATCCCAGTATAATTTCCATAGGTAAATAGGCTAGTTAAACATGAACTTGAGCTTAGAAAAACCAAAATGCACCCTGCACAATGGGATTGGTGACACACTTGATCCCATCATTTGGCAGGGCCTGCCGCAGGGGCTGCCGCGGGGGGTGCCGCGGGGGGTGCCGCGGGGGGTGCCGCGGGGGGTGCCGCAGGGGGTGCCGCGGGGGGTGATGCGGGGGCTGCCCCAGGGTTGGTCTGTTATGATCCATTTTTGTTCATTGAAGATCTTGTAGAGGTGAGCAGGGCAACAGGCCAACTGGGAATTTATAGGAAGACATTGAAATTGATGCAGGGGTCAGATGCGGGGCCCACTGCAAGGTCTACTGCAGGGGCAGGGGTGCATTATATCAAATTTCGATGTATCTATTCTGGCCATGGCCATAGAATGTGACATAATTATCCTTCAATTTGGCAGGGGTTTCTTGGTATGGTCTGCAGCTAAAGATATTTGATTCCCTTGTGCTTTAGCAGAGCCTGGGATATTGAAAACATGCAATAGCACCTGTATAATCTGTTTATGTAGGGTCAAATACAAGTTATGATTTGTTCATGTGTTGACCGGCAGGGTGGGTAGGTTGGCTGCACTGGGTCCACTGTCATCTCATTGATTTTTTGGTGCGCTCATTCTACATACATGGCTATTAGTCAATTGTTCACACTGTTAGCACAGTGTAATCTTACCCTGCGGCACATTGTACCACATGTCAAGTACACATTGAATGTCTCACTTCCTGACTGGGACTCATTGAAAATCAGAAGTTCTGTGATGCTTTGCAAATGATTTTCTCAAGCTGCAACATGAACAGATGGAACATAGCGGATTTGACATGCCCTCAATTCATTCCTGGGTCGTATATAAGAGGATGAACTAACTCACTAATAAGTTGTCTCACAATAGCCAGAGATTGAGCATGAATTCAGATTTCATATACAAAATTCTTTCCACTTAGAGCTTGGATACTTGCAAGACAAACTGCAGAAACATACATGATTGCTTTTGCTACTGGGACTGTATACGTTCTTGCCATAACTCACTGCCTGCAACTCTACCTGCACCCCCACTGGCACCCCTGCAGGCACCCCCCGCCAAACTGGCACCCCCCACTGCACCCCCGCATGCACCCCCGCCAGGCTGACACCCCCTGCCACACCCCCCGCTGCACCGGTGCCTTGCCCCTGCCATCTTCTCATATGTAAGATTACATAATCTGACAGCTCGGAACACGTCAAGTCACCAGCCAATCAGAACCTGTATAAACGTCGTACCTAAGTGTTTCCTGCTCTTCTGACACTGTTTCTACAGTTATGCAGCTGAAAACCATCGGAATAAGGTCTCCCTATGCTGTTCTTGTTGAATATGTAGGTATTTCATATCATTTGTCCATCCAAAATTCGAAACATGAAAACAGTTCACAGTTGCTCAAGGTTCCTACATAGATAATGGTTCAACATAGTTCACTTTGGGTATTGCAAAAAATATATTTTCTACAAATGAACAACTCAATACAGCTGAATGATATACCCCTTGGCAGTGTCTGAAACAAATTCTGAGAGCCCTGGACCCTGGAACCATTCAAAAACTTGAAATGGGTCCGAAAAATAGGGTCTTGATAAACATGAGATAGGGGCCAGTTTGAAGAGATGTAAGCCACTGGTCATGTTTAATGTGGTATTTGACAATGTTTCGGTGCCCTGCCCCTCACCAAATGGCCTCCTTTCCCACCAAAAAGTGCACATACACACTCAAGCTTATAAAATCAATTGTCGGCCAGAAACAAGAGCAGGCAAGTTGTGTCACTGGAATTGGGTAAAGGTAACCTGGAAGTCACTCGGGTTGCAGTACAGAAGCTGTGGAAAGTGATCCTGTAGTTGATCCACATTGGGTAGGCTGGCAGAGGCTTGGGCACCCCCCGCGGCACCCCCCGCAGCAGCCCCCGCGGCAGCCCCCACCATCAACCCTGCCCCAGCCCCTGCAAGGATTGGATGGACAAAAGTGCTGCCTAATCAATTGTTAGTGTTCACAGTATTATCACATCCATTAAAGTGTCTAAATGGTGTGTAGACAAGGAATATGAAATCCATCAATCAACAATCCTAACACCTGTATCAGATATCCTGAAAATGGAGAGGAAGATTTGGGAGCAGACAGACTATTGAAAGCAAACAGACAGGGACAAGGAGCAGTAGCTATTCCTGGCGATCAATTTGGCTGCACATGGAAAACTCCCTTGGGGGATTTGCCAAACAAATCAAGTTGCGCATTTTTCAAACATTAAATTCGACCTAATAGCTTGAGCAGACCATGCCCAAATGTACCAAGTTATAACTTGTATTTGACCCTACATAAACAGATTATACAGGTGCTATTGCATGTTTTCAATATCCCAGGCTCTGCTAAAGCACAAGGGAATCAAATATCTTTAGCTGCAGACCATACCAAGAAACCCCTGCCAAATTGAAGGATAATTATGTCACATTCTATGGCCATGGCCAGAATAGATACATCGAAATTTGATATAATGCACCCCTGCCCCTGCAGTAGACCTTGCAGTGGGCCCCGCATCTGACCCCTGCATCAATTTCAATGTCTTCCTATAAATTCCCAGTTGGCCTGTTGCCCTGCTCACCTCTACAAGATCTTCAATGAACAAAAATGGATCATAACAGACCAACCCTGGGGCAGCCCCCGCATCACCCCCCGCGGCACCCCCTGCGGCACCCCCCGCGGCACCCCCCGCGGCACCCCCCGCGGCACCCCCCGCGGCAGCCCCTGCGGCAGGCCCTGCCAAATGATGGGATCAAGTGTGTCACCAATCCCATTGTGCAGGGTGCATTTTGGTTTTTCTAAGCTCAAGTTCATGTTTAACTAGCCTATTTACCTATGGAAATTATACTGGGATGATTTGGGGAGTCTTCCATTTTTTTGGCGGAAAATCACGTGATTTTGCGCCCATTGTCTGCCACAGCATGCAATGTATCAAGCAGCATTTCCAAAATCATGCCAAATGCTGCAAAAAAGGCGCCCAAAAAGTCACGTGATAATGCGCCCACTGCCCGCCATGGTGTGCGGGGGGGTGGTAGTGACCCCGCCAATGACGCCGCCAACCCCTGCCAGCATTTTGGTAATATTTGGTGCAGCGCATCACGTGATTTTTTTTATCCCGCCATCCCGCCCATGCAGCGCGTCATGTGATTGGATTTTTTTTTCCCGCCCAGCTACCCGCTCTTATGGACAAGTCACATGCTACATACACCCCCCCTCCTCCTGACCCCCGCATATGCCCCCGCTACTAAATCGACTAAATGGCCCCCCCACCCCCCGCCAGGGGGTACCTACTGGGTACCCTCAGCAAGACGTCTGAGGGTACCCAGTAGGTACCCCGCGGGGGGAGAACCGCGTGATGGCGGTGGTAACTGAGGTGCCTCATCGAGTTCCTTGAGCGCGGACTCAGTAGCGAGATTGCCAGCCGTCTCTACAACACGGGTGTCCCTCTGCCCAAGGCCTATGGGGCGTTCAAAGCCTGGTGCATCAACATCGAAGCCAATGCTCTACGTGACCAACTACGCAAGGCATCCTACGGACATCCCACGCCACGACCACCTTCCCAGTTCCGCCCACAGGCTGCTCCGACAACACCTGCACCCGCACCGGCCCGACCCGCTGCAAATGAACCGGTTCCAATGGAAATCGATCGCACCCATGCCCGCGGCCGCAATATCATCTGCTACAACTGTCAGCAGCCTGGGCACATGGCGCGGAACTGTCCGGAGCCAAGGAAGAAGCGCACATTCTTCAATCGGGCCACAATGCTGGAAGAGATCGAGAACGGGGACAAGGACAACGAGTTCCTCAAGGAGATTGCCGAGAAGCTGCGCGAGAAGGGTTTTTGAAGCGCTCCACTCCTCTAGCCAAGGAGGTGGAGCATCCGGACTATGGACAATTTTCTGTACTTGTTTCAATTAAAGACATGAACGATTCTGCACACACATATACAATCTCGGACTCATTACGTACCAATATTCACAATTTCCTGATTGCTGATATGGAAAAGGAACGCCAAAGAAAAATAGCTTTAAATAAAGAGTATTTACAGAGTAAAAAGGATCAGAAAGCTACAGATAAATTAATTTTGGACTCCTACGTATTTATGGCTTGTGGAGAAGGAACCACGTCAACAAAGACCGAAAAGGGGAGCATCGCTCCGGAGGCTCAATCCTTGGAAAAGGAGGAAGCGCCTAAGGAATCTGCCAAAATCAAGGTTCCAGAAGCACCCAAGCACACCAGGGTGCCAGATGCCGTCCAGAGGAAATTGGCGGCCGAGAAACAGAAGGGCCCCCAGCCCAGCAGGTTGACGCAGGAATTACGCAGTTACCAGGCCGAAAGGAAGAGGCATTCAATGGACGTATATGTCCAGATCACGGGTCTGGACTCAGGGAAAATGCGCGGAGTCAAGGCGCTGCTCGATAGTGGCTGCAGTACCTGCTGCATTGATACCGACTACGCGGGGGCAGAGAAGCTGGATATCCAAGAGCTTCCGCAACCCATCGTGGCTTGTAATGCCGACAACACCAAGAACATCAGCGGCCAGATCACGCACTACGTCGATCTGAGGATGAGAATCGGTCCTCATGTGGAGACACACACGTTCCTTCTGACGTGCTTAGGGAAAGCCCGGATCTTCATCGGTCTTGATTGGCTGATGGAACATAACCCCAAGGTGGATTGGCAGGAGCAGACCATGAGATTCAGCCGATGCCCAGAGCGGTGTCACATGAGGGGTCACGAGGAGCACCAAGCAATGATCGACATGGATGCAATTGACCTGGACGCGGGCGCACCGGATCTGGAAGAGGGTGAATCGATCCTGTTGATCGACTTTGGAAAGGAGGTGGATCTACGGCTGAAGGAAACGCCAGCGCAGAAATTTGCAGAAGAAGCGGAAAAAGAGAAGGAGAGGATGACCAAGGGGAAGATTCCGGATCAATACCGGGAATTTGTCAAAGTATTTGCCAAGGAATCATTCGACTCACTCGATTGAGCTCAAACCTGGTTCCAAAGCAGTGGACTGCAAGGTTTACCCGCTATCACAAAACGAACAGGTCAAACTCGACGAGTTCTTACAAGAGAACCTGACCAGTGGACGGATCAGGCCATCAAAATCACCCATGGCTTCAGCATTCTTCTTTGTCAAAAAGAAGGATGGCTCGCTACGACCCGTCCAAGATTACCGGAAGTTGAATGAGATGACGATCCGAAATCGGTACCCGCTGCCGCTGATCTCTGAACTGGTCCACAACCTGTGCGGCGCAAAGTTCTTCACCAAGCTCGACATCCGGTGGGGATATAACAATGTACAGATCAAAGAGGGCAACAAGTGGAAGGCTGTGTTCCACACAAACCGCGGACCATACGAGCCCTTGGTCATGTTCTTTGGTCTCACAAACTCCCCGGTGAAATGCTGAGGGCGTGCTCACAAGTGAATCTACTATGAAAGTAAACCCAAATATAAACACGTTCACACTCCTCGTAATCAGCTTCTCAGTGTGTGAAAGATGCGAGGGCTTTGGGGTGGACAGAGCACCAGTATCACAACTCTCAATAGACGCAGATCAATAGTCGCAGAAGACAAAGTCGACGACAAGAATTTATATATAGCAAACAATGGTGTCTCAACCAATATCTTCTATACGAACGAAACCAACACTAATCCAATCACAAACAACAATATAACAAGTCAGAACTTAATACGGAGTATTAAGATCCCTTGTAGCGACAGCGTCCAGATGGCGACGCAAAGCCCAAATATCGAGTCGATGCACTGCCAACCGATACAACCAATATACTGAGTCGACGCACTGCCAACTAGTAGAACCAAAATGTCAAGTCGACGCACTGCCAACTGACACAACCAAAAGTACTGAGTCGATGCACTGCCAACTAACAGCCAATATCCAATGTCCAAAACCCGAGCACAACTTGTCGACGCACTGCCAAGCAAGAAGTGTGGAACTAAAGTTCTCAAGTCGACGCACTGCCAACTGACCAAAACAACCCAAGCACAACTAGTCAACGCACTGCCAAGCTAGAGGTGTGGAACAATCTTAACAAAGCCCAAAGGGCGACGACACTAAATGCCGCGACAATACCAGATGCGGCAAATCCGACTTTCTGATATCTCAACTCAAACTCAAATCACAGTAGCTACAAGTGCTCAGGGAGCAACTCGTCGCGACCGGGCAGGGGTGGCAGAACTTCTTAGGGTGGAATCACGCGGCACGCAAATTGTACAAAACAATCTGATATGAGAGTGATTCACAGTCCGGGGGAAAGCTTTTTAATACAAAGAAACAATGTGCTACTTATACCGTCTACAACAATGCTTAGTAAAGTCCTGCACAACTGCATAGTAGCTACGCTATCTAAGATCGGTTGCCTTTTAGAGTAATTGAAAAGTTGAACAATCGGACAGGTCCTGAGTGATCAGGACCCCGCCCCATAGTCCATATGATACTTTTGATGTGGGTCAACCCACCGCGTCATACTTTTGGAATACGACATGTTGGATTGGCCGACGGGTATGTCTTGACAGGTGAGTCCAACGTGGGTGCCCCAAGAAGCTGTATGGTCCTAGGCACGCCAGTCGTTCCTCACATGGTTCGGTTCACGGATCTAGCCGTGTTGGTCTTAGTGTATTTGGGTATGGGCGCAACTCGCCGTGACACTTGGAAGTGTCACCGCAACGCGTCCACAATGTCCCGTGATTGAATGGATCCTGACATGTGACAAGTCGTCGTTGTGGCACGATCTGAGGAAACGTCCAACTCAAAACCGGGAGTTGCCGCGACAAGATTGGTTCAATCTCCTAATGCCAAGTCCTGTCCAGTAGTAGTTGTATTACTGAGAACGTCGCACATTGCTCAGCCCTTCAGCCCAAGTTCCCATCTGCAGAGAATGACCCTTTTTGAGAAGTCGCCGCAACAAAGATCCCTTTTTGGGGAATTGTCGCGGTCCAAGTGTTCGTCACTAATGGCCCTGAGCCTGGTATAGACTCATAAGACCAGTTCCACAGTAGTGGTCTGACTGCCTTGCTATCGTTGACACTATCCACAGTCGTCGACTGGGCAGTAGACCCTTAAGCCCTACTGAACGTAACACTGTCAACCGCGACACAATACACCGAATGGTTCGAGAGTAAACTCTGTAAAAAGCGCAAAAATACGCCCTTACAGAGCTGGTGCAGAGTGTGTCTGGTAGCCAGCCTATCAACGGGACACATCATATGACTCCATCACCTGTCATCTAGAGTCATGCTGACTCATATCAATAGACACAGATAGCCCCCTGTATTGTAAGATAGCCGACATCCGGATCCATCAAGTCACGTGGCTCAAAGAGTGATGGCGACAACGGTGAACGAGGGTGGAGAATTTTTATAAACTAAACATACAGAAATGTAGTCTATAGCCTCCTTGAGACTTCTAAGGTTCCACATTTCCCTCCCTCTTGTAATTTAAGAAAAGTCTTCGAATATTTTGCGCAATCACGTGCAAGATATATGTAAGCAGTCAGGTGATCAGATCTTGATCACGTGTGGTTCATATCAATCCCTTTTTGTCACGATAGTGGCCATCTGTCGACTCTAATCAAGATGCCGAAGAGGAAAGCCAATGGCAGGATCAAAAACCTGGGCTCGTATGCCAAGGAGGGGGTCTCGAAGCCACCCAAGCGACCACGCACGGACTCGGAACCAGTGTCACAGGCATGCAGCAATGAATCTGGGCAGGAGGATGGTGTTGCAGAGGGGAAGGCAGACAGTGGGGATGACGACTCGGGAGACAAGCTGCTGGATATCGAGGTCGAAGATGATGTGCCGCGGCCAAAGGACGAGAAGAGTCTGCAGGGGAATGGAGCAGAAGCGGCTTGGACAAACAAACGATACAGAGGCCATCGGACCTTACCTGCAGATTACTTGAGGGATGTGGAAAATGAGTTTAGGGCAAAGCAGCTGTAGTCTATTCATGAAATGACTTGTGTTACTCCGTAAAACCTCCCGCCGTGCATGAAGTGAATGGTCTCTGAGATTTTGCGCTGTGACATGTGACATGTAACAGTTCACGTGACTCGATGGAACCGGATGTTGGCTATCTTATATAAGGAGGGCTCTATTACCCTGTATTCTAAGTCTTTTGACTACTCCCACGTAGTGCCCACACTAAGCTCTCACTCACACAGGTGAGCTGCTAGATGCTCTCCCCAGTGCTCAACAAGTAAATCATCTCATCACTCAGGGTGCTCCCAAAAGAAAGGAATTTCTGCTCAGAATGATGACTGGACTAATAGGTACTAAACCCCACCAGGTTTTCCTTCTTGTCCTTGGATTGGCAGAGAGTCTGTTGTAACACTTATCACTTGGTCTATATGCAATTCTATTGGCAGGCCAGGCGATGTTCTTGGCTGTGCAAAGCGTATAGATGAGGCCAATGTTCCCTTGGTTGCCTCAGCAAAGGAAGCTGTTGAGGACCATACTGTTGGACGTTTTAAGCTTCTGAATGGTGTGCAGCAAATAAACACACTGGTGGCAAAGACAGTCGAGATGATTTCAACATAACAGTTGGCCAGGTGGAGACCAGCAGCAGTGGTCGTATGTCCCCTGAACAAAGTTGCAATCTGTGACACACTGAAAATGACTGTGGATTTTGTAAATACTCTGTTGAAGGGCACTAGGTGAGAGGCAACAGACTCGGGAACACAAAATTTGTGCTGGCAATCCAAAACAGGTTTTTCAAACGGTCAGAGTATGATTCTGATGTTCTAGCAGTGAGCAAAAAGCACAGAGCGCTGTCGAAAAAAACCACCGCACCCTTATGGTCAAACCTGCCTATTGATTCACCATTGAATACACGCCCCGTCCGGCCGAGTCGCCAGAGGAATAGCGCTGAGATGTATCTGGGCACTTGAAAATAAAATAAATGAAAAACATGTTGATGGAAAATGACTGACGCATTATCCAACAGTTCGAGGGTATACCCCAATTTGAAATACACCGGGTTGAGCTGTTCTAGGACCTCGAATTGATTCATGGTCTCGGGGCGGAATAGCCCCTTTGCCCAGCCGATGGTGAAGAGGATGTTTATGACGCCTCGTCCGATCTTAAGAAGAACCGAAAATGCGAGCACAAAGGGAAGCTGTGCACGTGGAAACACAATGCAAACACGGAAAAGGAGGACGAATTCGGCAAGCCAAGGGACCCATGCATCCAGAATTGTGTATACGAGGTCTAACTGTAAGCTAATGGCTCACAGGCGGCAACACGAGCTCACCTTCGCCTTTGGTGATTGTGCGGAATGGCGAAAGAATGGTTTCCATCTGAGCGGTAAGATAAGCCGCAGCTGCTGTGAATAGGGGGGTCACCGACAGTAAGATGAGTGCTCAGGGCACCGAGAATCAAGCCGAAGCAGATGGCAGCGGTGTTGAGAATGAAGATGGGTCCGCGGCGGAGCTGGGGAGTCGAAAGCGTCAAGAGCATGATGAAAAGGGGCACGAGCATGGCTGAGAAAATGGTAGGTATCAGAATAAAGGCAAACGCTGGCCGAATGCCCTGTGCGTAGGCCGCGATTATGGGCTCGGTGATTGATGGTGGGAGTGAGCCTGAATCCATGCCAGATTATCTAAGGAGATGTTCGGACAAGATGTCGAGCTTCCGTCAGACTTTAAGCTTTATGTATCCATAGGCGGCCCAAAATAGCATCGTCGCTCAGAGCCTTAGTCAGTGGATGAGGAGTACATGAGAGATCTCAGTTGACCCGGGGAAAACAGCAACGATCGACGACACGCAGCATCATCGCGGCCTGCCAGAATCATTCAAAAGGCTGTCAATGACTCCCGAGGGACACCCATCCATCGTCCCTAGATGCAGATGGAATGATAGAATTGCGAGATGACCTGATGCGAGTTTCACACTGCACATCATCGTGAGGGACCGAGCGTAAGCCGGCTTCGCGGACGAAAGATCGACTGGGCATCAGGTGCGTCCGGAGCCCAGAGTCCAATATGGAGTTCGTCGTCTGTTATCGAGGCGCGGTAAGCGAATGGCATATCCCTTTCTGGGTCTGATGCTTGTAGAACGTCCGCTTAGGGTTTTCAGGCCAAAGCCGTCCGCACAAAGATGGGACAACGCTCCTTTCCGCAGCACTGTGTGGATTGACAGTACGACGAGTAGTGGTAAGTTGTGAACGATTGGCTACGATAAATGCGTCAAGATCAGCATCGTATTCGGAAAGAGAGTATCCGCTCTTCGTCACAGTACGACCAAGCTCAAGCGCTGACCTGAGCGCCCTGCGAAGCGGAACTCTGTCGGAAGCATCCATCAACATTCCGAGATCGCAGATAGGCTGGACTCTGGGTCCGCCGAAGCGAGCTTGACAGAACTAGTTGATTGGGGTCGCACCGCAGTCAACATGATTGAGAATGTCCCCGCAGATCTGGGAGAGCCGGACGGTCGCGCGCCAGATGGACTGGTTTCCGAGAATCCCCCGGCCGGTGAACACGTATTTGAACAGTTGTGGGATTGCAGCCAACGGGCGTTCGATGAGAAGATCAATGCTGTCAGTGATGGGAACCCGGTAAATGACCGGGACGCTAACATGATCTTGTTGTAGAACGGTAGGCCGACTGTTCGATATCGTGTAAAGACAAAGAGACGGACCAAATGAGCTCCGACTCCGGGAAGATGTTTGACCAGCGGGATATCGAGTGGCGCCAGATCGTCTCGAAGCCCAACGCCACTAGGTAGATGCAGCTGAGTCACAGACGAGACATGATCTGATTCCATTCCCTTCAAGATATGGGGACTTGCGATAGCTCCGGGCAGAGAGCGGCCTCCTTCTCGACGGAGAGATGGGACTGCTGAGTTCGAGATTCAGACCCAAAAAAGACGTCGGTCACTCTCCCGTCGCTGATATTTAGCGACGTTGGAGTGGGCACTCATGGATGTGCGGAGTGACTCTGATCTGTGTGGGCTTCCCCCGTCTGTTTACCGTCATGTGATCCGGTCACGCCATCACCACGTGCAAACGCGCAGGTTCCGGCGCGTGCAAATGACCTTGCTGCGAAGGCACACCTAGATCGTATAGCTTATCTGGCCGTGGGAGTCGATTGCCGAATGCTTTACTGAGAGTAAGATACATTCCTCCCCGAGCAATTGTCTTTCTTCTAGATCGACTCGTACAGACCGAACTCGGACCAATCAGCGGAAATCCTGCGAATGGTTCTGCACAGCGACTCTCATCACTCCAGGTGCTCCCTACACTTGACTGAGATACTACACAGCAACAGGTTTTCTTTGCTGTCCGTCGTTCGGAAGCGAATCCGTCGTAACGCTCACAACTCGGTCCATGTACAATTCTATCGGCTGGCCAGCCGACGGTCTTGCCTGTGAATAACTTGTAGTCAAGAACGACGTGCTCTTGGTTGCCTCGGCGAAGGAGGCCGTAGAGGACCATACTGTTGGACGGTTTGAGCCTCAAAATGGCGACAAACGAATGAACACACCGGTGGCAAAGACGGTCGAGATGATTTCAACGTAGCAGTTGGCTAAGCTAAGACTGGCGCCGAGAATTATGTCGCCCCTGAAGACGGCCACAATCTGTGACACACTGAAAATTACTGTAAATCGAGTGAACACTCGGTCGAAGAGTGCCGAAGGAGTGACAGACTCGGGAACACGAAATTTGTACTGGCAATCCAAAACAGGTCTTTCAAACGCTCGGAGTAGGTTTCTGCAGTCTCTGTGGTGAGACAGAAGCACAGAGCACTGGTAAGAACGACCCACGCTTGAAGTCGAGCCTGCCGATTGCATGGCCGTTGAATAGATGCCCGGTCCGGCCGAGTCGCCACAGAAAAAGCCCTGAGATGTATCTGAGGATTCGAAATTGAGAGTGTCATCTCTTTATTTTTCAAGACAACTGACGCATTGTCAACTAGCTCCAGGGTGTACCCCAATTGAAAGTATATCGGATTGAGCTGATGGAGAATCTGGATCTGATTGATTGTCTCAGGGCGGAAAAGCGCCTTTGCCCAGCTGACGGTGAAGAATATATTTAAGACGGCTCGTCCGATCTTGATGAGGACCGGGAACGCAAGCACGTATGGAAGCTGCGCGCGGGGAAACACAATCCAGACACGGAAAAGCAGGACGGATTCCGCAATCCAGGGGAGCCAGGCATCCAGTGCCGTGTATACGAGGTCTGACAGTCAGCTCACAGCCCGCAGTCGACAACACGAGCATACCTTCACCCTTGGAGATTGAGTGGAACGGTGATAGGACGCTTTCCATCTGAATCAAGAATGAGCCCGAGTCATGGTGCGTGTGTCGGGTCACCGACCGCAAGGTGAGTGCTGAGTGCACTCAGTATCAAGCCAGAGCAGATGGACGCCGTGTTGAGAATGAAAATGGGTCCCCGCCGGAGCTGGGGAGTCGAAAGCGTCCAGAGTATGATAAGAAGAGGGACGAGCATAGCTGCGAAAATGGCAGGTATCAGAATGAAGGCGAACGCGGGCCGTATGCCCTCCGCGTACGCCTCGATTATGGATTCGATGACTGACGGCGGGAGGGAGCCTGAATCCATGGGTTCGGAGTTGATGTCGAGCCTCAGCCAGACTGTGAGCTTTATGTATCCACGAGCGGCTCAAAATAGCGTTGCCGCTCAGCGCCTTGGTCGGCGAGTGGAGGGACATGGGAAATCTCAGTTAATCCAGGCGGAACAGCCACCATCCACGACACACGACTTGCCAGGGCCTAGCATCAACCAAAAAGCTGCTCAGGACTCCCACGGGGCATCGAGACTCGGACTGCATCCGTCTTCCCCACATTGCAGATGGAATGATAGCAATGCGGAATGATCTGACTGGAGTTTCGCATTGTACATCGTTGTGAGGGACCACGCGCGAGCTTGCTTCGCGAACAAAAGATCGGCTGGGCATCGGGTTTCACAGGCGAGTTTTTAGTGTGGTATTGGTCTCGTGTCAAGGCAAAGTAAGCAGGCGACCTATCCCTTGCTAGTAGGCCTGATTTTCGGGCAAAGTACGCCCTGTGGGTCTTCAGTGCGATGCAGGACGACGCTCCTTTCCGGGGCATTGTGGGGATCCTGAATTGAAGATTCGACCGCATACAGGCCATCTTTAGTCCCATACCCGGGCCATATTGGGCAGGATTGAACTCACCGTCCGTAGCAGACCTATGAATGTCCACACAGTGACCGTTGCTCATTAACGACCGAGGATGGGATCGGAGTCTGCGTCTGTCCAGTGATCAGATCACAGAACTTTCTTGATGCGCACCCATGCATAAGTATGTAAAGAGCTCAACCACGTTCGCTCACGTGCTTGAGCCCTGTCCACGGTGAAGCATTCGGGACGACTCGATTGCTCGAAATGTTTCCCGCAATGAACGAACATCATGAACAACAGATCTGCATATTGGAGCCAATACATGATCGAGTCAGATTCGGACAGGGTATCACAGTGCACGACTATTCTTCACAAACTCAGCACAACGCTCGGCAATCATCACAACCGGGGCCTGCAAATGACAAGCGGGAACCCATGGAAAGACGCTCGCGTCGGCGATTCTCAGGCCTGCCAGACCATGGACCCGCAGCTCATCATCGACGACCCCACCTTCGTTTTCCTCGGCCATGCGGCAGGACGACGAGTAGTGGTAAGTTGTGATCGATTTCGCTGTGATAAATGCGTCAAGATCAGCATCGCTTTCGCTGGCTGGAGCGTCGTATTCTGAAATAGAGTACCCGCTTTTCTGCACGGCACGACCCAGCTCAAGCGCTGACTTGAGCGCCTTACGAAGCGGAACTCTGTCGGAAGCATCCATCAACATTCCAAGATCGCAGATAGGCTGGGCTCTGGGGTCCGCCAAAGCAAGCTTGACAGAACCGGTCGATTTAGGCCGCACTGCAGTGGTCATGATTGAGAATGTCCCCGCGGATTTGGGAAACCCGGACGGCCGCGCGCCAGATGGATTGACCGGCAAGAGCATGATTTCGGCATCAGGCACGTTGTCAGGATTCTGCGCGTCTAGGTCCTGGGGAGAGGCATTCTGCACGTCGGCCAGACTGGTTCGGAACATGATGTTTGCTTGCTGGACCTGGTTTCCGAGAATGCCCCGGCCGGTGAACACATACTTGAACAGCTGGGGGATCGCAGCCAGCGGGCGCTCGATGAGAAGATCGATGCTGTCCGTGATGGGAACTTGGTAAATGATCGGGACGCTAACATGATCTTGCTGTAGAACGATAGGTCGGCTATTCGACATCGTGTAGGTAAAAGAGACATACCAAATGAGCTCCGACTCCGGGAAGATGTTTGACCAGCGGGATATTGAGTGGCGCCAAGTCATCTCGAGGCCCCACGCCACTGCATACGACTGAGTCGCAGACAAGACGTATTGTGATCCCACCCACCTCAATAACAAGATATGAGGACTCGCGATAGCACCGGCGCAGAGAACGGCCTCCTTCTCGACGGAAACACGGAACTGTTCAGTTCCAGATTCTGAGCAAAAAAAGACGCCGGTCACTTTCCCATCGCTGATATCCAAGGACGTCACGACAGCACCCGTGCAAACGTGCAGGTTCTTGCGCGTGCGAACGACCTTGCTGGGAAGGAACGCCTGCATCGTATCGCTTCTCCGGCCGTGGGGGTCGATCGTCGTATCCAGCAGCGTGCAAACAACCGCGGGCGACGACGGGTCGTTATCCATTTTCACGGTCTGGATTCCCAGGCTGGGAACAGCATCTAGGGCTCTGAAACGATGATCAGCACAGGCTGCGTCGGAAGATGGGGAATGTGTGAGACCTTGTTGTCGACTCAAACGTGATCTCGGGACTGCCTCTCGTTTGCCACGGCCCTTTCGCACGTTGAGAAACGTAATGTGACAAGAAGCATGCCGACCTTTCGATCCGCGGAAGGAGAGACCCGCCGCAGCGGAGTAGTGCTCGCTCTTCTTGAAGAACGGCTCGACTGCGTCCCAGCCCCATCCTTTCCGTCCTGCACGCTCCCACGCATTGTACTCTCCTGGCGTCGAGCGCGTGTAGAGCAGCGCATTGACCTTGGTCGAGCCCCCGAGTGCCTTGCCCCCCACCAGCGTCATCGTCTGGTCTCCCAGAGCCTTGGCTGGCGCGGACGGGATCCTGTACACGGGCGCGTTCTTGTCGGTGATGTTGGATGAGAAAAGGGGAATCTTTGAGAGCCAGCTGTCGACGACGGGGCCGCGCTCGAGCACGAGCACGGTTATGTTCGGGTCTTCGCTGAGACGTGCGGCGACGACACAGCCTGCTGCGCCTCCTCCTATGACAACGTACTGGTACGACTTGCCAGACACATCCTTGAGGGATTTGGAGGGGTAGGATCCCATAGGAGACTACAGTGACAAAATGACGGGTGAAGAACAGAAAGAAGAGAAGGACCTTCGTAAAGCAGAAATCGTACAATTTCCACAATTTCGCATGATGAAGTGGTGGTTTATGGCAGAAATCACATCGTTGACATGCAAGACAGGATGAAATCTAATCTTATCGTGATAGCGCGCGACAGCCCTGATGCCAACAGTCTAAGGCTTTAGTAAGCTCCGTTGGATGGCCTTACTTCCCGACCGAATCCACAAAGAACCAAAGACTTGCCCGCCCTCTAATATTATCCCCCCACACCATGTATACATATTCCGCTGCCATGTTCCTTACCATACTATCCCTAATCTCACCGACCCTATCAGCACACGCGCCAGAATGGCGCCGCCGCTCCATCTACCAAATTGTAACAGACCGCTTTTCCCGCAGCGACAACTCGCTCACTGCGCCCTGCGAGACACAAGCCCGAGAATACTGTGGAGGGTCGTGGAAAGGTATCACGAATCGCCTAGACTATATCGCGAACATGGGCTTCAGCGCGATCTGGATTTCGCCTATCGTCAAGCAGCTGGAGGGCTCCACAGGATATGGCGAAGCATATCACGGTGCATTTTCGTTTCCCTTTGTTTTTCTTGCCTCGGGAAAGCTCAAGCAAAACCAGGCTACTGGACGCGCGATCTGTATTCGCTCAATCCGCAATTCGGCACTCAACAAGACCTCATGGAGCTGATCGATGCTGCCCACGCGCGGGACATATATGTCATGCTCGACGTCGTACTCAATCACTTCGCCAGCCTTGGCCCGGATGTCAATTATGCCGCGCTCAGGCCATTCGATAACGCCCGATACTTCCACTCGGAATGTGACATCGATTGGGGCAACCAGACCTCCATCGAGGCTGTGAGCTCTATCCTGCCGCCTCATTTCTCGAATCTTACCCGCCGCAGTGCTGGATGGGTGATAGTACCGTGAGGCTTCCGGACATCAACACCGAGGACCCCGATGTACAGACTACGCTCAAGCAATACCTTTCGGATCTGGTCACTAGCTGGAAGATCGATGGAATCCGTCTTGATGCCAGCAGAAACGTTGCGCAGCCTTCTTGGGCCGCGTTTTGCTCCGCGGCAAACGTGTACTGCCAGGGTGAAGTCTGGGTACGAGAGCCTTCGTAAGCCAAATTCGCCTGGGGTCTTTTACTTACTCACCTGGACGGCATGACGCAGCATCATATGTCCATATCAGACCGTGATGGACGGTCTGCATAACTACCCGGCCAAGGAACTTGCCACAATCGCATTCGCCTCGTCAGGAAGCCTGAATGACTTCATCAGCGTGGTGCAGGCGATGCAGACTCAGTGCAAGGTGCGTCCGGTAGATCTGCGACCGGATGCTTTACTTCACTCACATTGCAGGATGTAACTCTTTTCGGATCCTTCATGGAAAATCACGACAACCCTCGACTAGGCAGCTTGACGACTGACAGAGGTCGTCTCACAAATCTGGCCGTCATCAATGTCCTCTCGGACGGTATTCCAATCGTATACTACGGCCAAGAGCAAGCTTTCACTGGCTCTGACGATCCAAACAACCGTGAAGCGCTCTGGCTCTCGCAATTCTCGACCTCAGGCAACCTCGTTCCGACCTTCAAGGCACTGAACATCTTCCGCAACTACGTCGTCGCAAGTGGCGTTCCCTTCATCTCTACCCTCTCGGTCTACAAGCTCATCAACGACAACGTCATGACGGCCCGCAAAGGAAGCCTCACACTCGTTCTCACCAACTCGGGCAGCAACATCGTCATCTCCTCTGAGGCAGACGGTTTCACACCTGCTGAAGACCTCGTCGACGTTCTCTCTTGCAAACACTTCCAGTCTGATGTGACGGGCAAAGTTGACCTGATACTCTCCGGATACCCACTTGTGTTGTACCCTCGAGCCTTGCTGCTTACCTCTGGCATATGCTCCTTGTGACACCTACTGGTCATCATGTTCTACTTATCCAATAGGAATTCCTACGCGCCAGTCCACAGCCCGCGCAGCAGTTCAAAACTCTTAACCCAGGTCCCTGACAGTCGTGGCGAAAGCAGTAGATAAGCTGATATAAAGAAGACAACAAAAATACATTCGACGTAGGCCCTACTCGTCTCCAATCTTGGGTGCCAAGTAGTACCGAACGTATCCTTGACCAAAGTCATAATCCACCTACGAGACGTATCACTACAAATGCGCCGTCGTGTACTATAATACAAGACTCACCAATAGCGGAACATCATTGCTTAACCGAAGCTCCACTTTGCTCGTCATGTTGGCCGTCTTGGAGAAGTTGACGAGATATTTGAGTGAGAACGTCAGTGAAACGTGAGAGTTCATGGAAAAGTTGAAGGCTAGGAGGGATGATGATGCTGGACGCGAACGCTAGGGAACAAGCTCACTGGGCTTCTCGTCCTTCTCCTTTTCATTTTTAGATTTCCTTGCCTTCTTGGCAGGCTTGGAGGATCCGTTGGACTGGAAATACTTTCAGTATGAGGCGAGGGGGCAACGCAGACAACTTTTACTTTATGCTTGCGCTTTTTGCCACTCTCTTCCTCCTCCTCACTCTCCTCTTTCTCCTCGTCGTCGGACTCGGCTTTGAACTCCTCAGTGCCCTTCTCTTCCTCGTCCATGTCGACATCCTCATCCTTCTCCTTCTTGATCTTCTCGGCCTTGACTTTCTCCTTCTTGACCTTGGGTTTCTTCTCGCCATCTTCATCTTCGTCGTCACCAGCTTCCTCTTCGTCGTCCTCGTCCTCGACCTTCTCACCACGCTCAATCTTCCTCTCACGCTCGGTCTTGACACGACCGATCTCTCCCTCCTTCTTCAGCAGAACGCTACCGTTGGCGCTCTCGCCCTCGCTCGCAAAACGCACACCCTCTTTGCTGACCTCGATACGGACGCTCTCGCCAAGGGCGCTCAAGTCACGCACGATACGGGCGAACTCGGACGACGCCATGACGACTTCTGCGTCGTAGTCGGTGTCAGGGATCCCTAGCGTGTCCGAGTCGATGTCCATCAGCTTCATGTCGTACTCTGCTATCCTGTCCGAGTCTGTGCACGCGACGCGTCAGTCCTCGACGAGTTGCAAGTACGCGTAGGAGCAGTGACACACACCCTTCGCTTCATATACCAAGTTGAGCACATCCGCGTCATCCGACGCTTTGATGGTACACTCGTCATCGTCTTTGGCGCACTTGAGTACCTTGTTGAGACTGTTCAGGTTCACGCCCAGGGGCAGGGGCCGGTCGCAGCGGTACCGCTCGAAGCCTTGCGACTGTAGGTGGACCGAGACCAACGCGACATGCGAGTTGTCCATCGCCTGGAGGTTCAGTCCCTCTTCGTTGCACTCGAAGTTAGCATCGGTGACGAGTTCCTTGATGGCTGAGACGAGCAGAGAGGAGAGGGAGAGAGAGAAGACAGACGCGTCAGTCAAAGGACGCGAGATCGAGATGGATGAGAATGCTTACAATCAAGCAGCTTCTTGAGTGTCCCGGCTTCGGTGAGTTTGGCTTCAAGCATGGTCAGAGTAGTGAAAGGAAGTATCAACGGTGGTCGGAGGAGGGGAAGAAAAGACGCGAGCGTGACACTGTGACGCCACGCGTTTCGTGATCCCATGTCACGCGCACGGACCTCTTTCCCACTTCAAGTTACTTTGCACATTCGCACTCGGTGAGAGCTGGACCTGGATAACGATCTTTGTTCTTGTACGTTTATTAGCTCGGGGTCTCGTGATAAATTTTTCCTGAATAATGGCCACGGGGAGCTCTGATGTTATCTGTCCATGAACTCGTCCGTCCATCCATCCAAATTGAATAGACAGATACAAGTCCAATTGTTGCCTCCCGTGCTTCCTTATTGACCCTGTATGAAGCAAGGGCACTCTGAACTGGTCACTGGATGAGCTGCGAATGCAGTTGGATCACCTTTCCCTTCTCGATTGCAATGTTAGATGGCATTGAGGAGTTGGATTGCTTTTGTCCACTCTCAAAATGGTAAAGTACAGATGTGATGCTAGAACGCCCCTTCGAACAACAATGTGCGCGGCTTGCTTATCCGCGGCGCGACCGAGAACAGAGCAGGCCTGTGTTAGTGTGCATGTGTGAGTAAAAACAAGAAGACCAAGGGAATAACGAACATGGAGGTTCCACAATTGGCCGCTGGGTTGCCCATGATGATGCTCTCTGACACACCCGCGATGCTGTCGTTCTTGCCGTAGGCCGAGGCGTCGAACAAGTGGTCTGTCGTCTTCTCGAACGAGGCAAGCATGAGAACGCTGTCCTTCATCTTGGCCACACCGAACCGCGTGATTCCGAGCACCTCGCCCTTGTACGACATCACGTCGCCCAAGAGCATCACATGCCGTGGGTCGATGATCATGTCGTGCGACTTCATGGTGTATTGGATCTCGTTGATGATCGTCCGCCGCGCAGCCTCGATGCCGAGCACCTTCGCGACCTCGATCACATGGTTTGACGTCGTGTACTCCCCTACGACACCCTCTGTCACCATGCACTGCTGCAGGCCGTATCCTTCGACCAGTAGCTCCTTGTCGCCTTTCCGGCCCCGCACATCGTCCTTGTCCTTGATGTTGATGACCGCCCGCTGGATTGTGTTCACACCCTTGACCACAACATCGGGCAGCCCGCGCATCAGCTCTCGCAGCCGGTAGTACTTGTCCTCCCCATCCACGTAGATGCGAATCCGGTTTTTGCGCGGAATCACAGTGATCGTCTCTTGCTTGACCTTCAGCTTTCTCGCGCCAACAATGGCCCACTTGACGTCGTCGATCGTCATCTCCAGCTGCAACTTCTGGATCGCATCCATGTCCAGGATGATCCCGAGATATGTGTATTCTGGTGCCCAGGCTTCCTCGAGAACACTGGCGATCTAAAGGCACACGGGTCAAATACAGAATTCAGAGGCAAACAGACCACTTACATCTCCTAGCATCGTCTTTTCCAGCCGGCCTTTCACAATGCGAGCCGACGCCTCGCTGTTGCTCGTCACAAGCTTGCAGCTGATAATCGGGGTGCTGATTGTCTTGGAGGCGTTGATAATCTCCTTGATACGAGGCACTCCGAGTGTGACGTTCATCGACGCGACGCCAGCAAAGTGGAACGTCTTCAAGGTCATCTGAGTCCCGGGCTCTCCGATGGACTGCGCACCAACAGCGCCGACTGTCGATCCCGGCTCGATGCGCGCCTTGACGTACTTCACCCAGCACAGCTCGAGGAAGATCATCAGCTGCGACTCGGTCACCTTGCTCTTGTTGTCTACGATGGCGCGTTCCTCGAGCGAGGCACCCATGCTCAGATCCGTCGTCGAGTCCCAGCTGTCCTCCTTCTGGATAGCATCAAACATCCCCCAGCTGCTCCGCACTTTCGCCATCCGCTGCGCGATGCGGTCGGTCGTGTACCCGCGAATGGTGGCCAGATATGCCGAGGTACACTCGCTGGTGAACCTCTTCGTGCCGAGCTCACGGTCGACAATCGCAATCACTTCGTAAGGCAGCAGACCTCGTTCAGAACGTGAGCCCATGGCCTTGTGGATTAATCGTCAGCTGACGCAGGACAATGGACGAGCAATATGTATGACGCACCGTCGCATGACTCCAAGCACGGTCAAACTCAATCGGCTGGGCGTCACCCTCCAGACACGCAGGGTCTAGTCCGTCATCACCGTACCGGAATTGCACGACACCGCCCGTCGAGTTGCGCACACTCAAGTCATACTGTGTCGTCAGATCTTCCAGCGCCTTCATGAGCCGACGTTGCATATAACCGGTCTCCGCAGTCTTGACCGCCGTGTCAACAAGACCTTCTCGCCCAGAGATAGCGTGGAACAGAAACTCGGTCGCACGTAGTCCCGAGAAGAAACTGTTGCGGACGAATCCTTTTGATGGCGGCTCTTTTGATTTCTTCGGGAAGTGCGGCAGAGAACGGTCTTGGAAACCATCCGGCACACGGTGACCAGCGATAATCTGCTGTCCGACACAAGCCACCATCTGCGACACGTTGATGACAGAGCCTAGCGGTGTGAACTTTTCTGAAAGTATGGTGTACCGATTAGAACGCACCCTTGGAACCACAAGTAGCCATGATCAGCGGCGCATTCTGCCGACTCAACTCTCTCATGCAGATCTGGCCGACTTTTTCACGAACATCGGAGAGAATGCGGGAGATGTGTGCCTCCAATGTTTGCTCTTGATTACAGCCAGGCTTGTTTTCGAGCTTCCCCTTCTTCGCGAGTTGGATGGCGTCTTGACAGTCCGCGTAGGCCTTCTCGACGAGCATGTCCTTCATCTGAGAAAGCTCTGGACCAGGGATGACATCGTTGATGCCCAGTGAGAATCCGTAGTTAGCTAGAGGTATATTCAGCACGAATAGCAGATGCTGAACATCGAATATACGCACCCAGATAGCGCGCACACAGTTTTGCCAACCTGCTCATGGCCACAGCAGCTTCATGAGGACCATAATCTCGCATGATCACACCAAAGATAGACTTCTTCTTTCCGCTTCCCACCGTCGCCTTGTCCATCACCCCGCACATGATCTCACTGTTCACCACGACAAGCCATCCATCGTTGGGCGACATGTCGTTCGCCAATTTCGGTATAGCTGGATAGTTCTCCGGTTTCGCCTCTTCCCATTTATGGCACTTGCTCTCGACATTCACCTGGATCTTCGAGTTCTTGTTCGGTCGCATTAGCACATTGAAGATCTGCTTGCCTGTCCAGAGTCGGACCGGTTTCCATATCGTGGGTGGTGGGATGTCGATCTGCAAGTCGGCGTCTGCGAGATAACAGCAAATCTGGGTGAACTGCCGTCGGTCGAAGAACTGGTCTTTCCTGGAGAGCAGGAACGATGCGGTAATGAAGTCCTGGATGGCTGCGATGACGGGTTCTCCGTTGCGTGGGGTAACCAGGTTGTTCTTG